GGCGGGGCCCCCCTGGATGGTGCATCGCTCCGAGGGGCATGAGCAGACACCCCCGTCTGAGGCTCTAACGCAGGCACAGGCCCAGGCACAGGCCGGAGCGGCTGGAAAGGCGTCTGGTGCAGATGAGCGAGACACTCGCAGGAAGGCGGGGCCCGCCTGGATGGTGCGTCGCTCTGAGGGATACGAGCAGACGCCGCTGCCAGCTGCCCAGGCCACTGGCCCAGAGGGTGGCAAGGGGCGCGCAGCTGCAGATGCCCTCAACCGGCAAATCCGCGAGGAGGTGACCAGTACAGTGAGCAGCTCCTACAGGTGAGACACCAGCAGCAGCTCTCGCAGTAGGGCTGGTCACTCTTATCCTCTCCTGAAGACTGCCTTCACAGACCACACATACCCATTCCTCTCTCATGCCAGACCACGCCCGTCCTCCAGTCTCATGCCAGGCACTCTCCCACTGCATACTCCCTTCCCTTGTCCTGTGTTAAAGCTGTTAGTTACCACTCCAGTCTTCCCAGATCTTTCTCTTTACTACTTTAGTCACCTTCCCCCATCCTTGCTCACCTCAGATCCCCACTTACCCAACAGAGACCCTGCGGGTTTCTTCACAGCTGGGTTGCATTTCCTTTCTGTTCCCTGCAACTCACCTGCTGCATTAACTTGGCCGCTGCCCCTTGCTGGCTTCACTGTTGCCCACCTACCTTGTCTTCCTGCAGGGTTCTCATCCTTCTAGAAGAATACTTTCCAAGTGACCTCTCACCCTCCTCCCCAGAACACTTCTTTTGGATCTTCATTCTTCTTTCTCTCTCAGTCTCTGGGCTACACTCAAGCACCACACCCTTTTCTAGATTTCTCCCCAGGTCCTTACAAATCACCCTCCTCCTCTATCACTCAGACTTTGAAGTCATTTTCCTCCTGCTTCTTACTTGCTGTCACACATTGGTCAAATTTCTCAATCTTTTTCAGGGCCAGGTTCTTAGCTGTAAGTTGTTATTAATAATAGATATCTCTTAGTGTTTTCCCATGATTTATTGATTTTAAGTTAAACATCCAGGGTATTTTTCAATACCTACTATAGGCCAAGCACTGTGCTGACATTGTGAGGATTCAGGAGGACTGCTCATGCCAGGGACATAGTGGTCATTAGTTCGTTTCCGTTCTGACCTTCTACAGGATGCTTCATTGCTCTGATTTCTACTTCCTAGACGCCTGGTCCCATTTCTCCTAATGAGGCATCTCCTTTCTCTCTCTCTGCCCTTCATGGTCTCCAGATGTGTTTCTTACTCTCTCACCACCAAGAACTCCGTCTTTAGCAAGGTTCAAATTCCTTGTAAATGAATGTCTTCAAGCATCTCCCCACTCCCAAATTCTCCCTCTGCTGCAGTCTCAATCCTTTCAGTCTGTTTTCTCACCTGCCCTTATGTTTCAACCAACATCAGTTAGCTAACCAATCACAGCTGGCTGAAAATGTAACACTGGGTTGGGGTCTCTAAAGAAGCAGATGTGCATGATGAATAACTGAGCTAGAGGTATTCAAAATGTGGCTTATGGGGTCCTTCATCAGTACCACAGGAATTAGTTGCCTTCTTCCTGGTGACTGAGGGTGGGGGGCAGGTTGCAGAATTAGTGTCCTCTGCTAATACCCTTTAAGGTACCCACACATACCTTCAATCAGACTGATGTCCTCCAATGAACATGACAAACACTTTCTCCCATGTCGAGAAAAAACTAGCATATGGAGACATCTTCCCTTGTCTTCCTAAATTTCACCTCCTACTTACCATCTCTCTCTTGATTTACTGCTATCACAACCTCACTGTTCTCCTAGAAATACATTGCTTCCTTTTAAAGTTCTGGATCAAACAAGGACACATATTCTTTTCTTTGGATAGCCATAATGAGGTGGAATTTTCATAATATTTTTAAGCTGTTACCAAGAAAGGAAACAAATAAGCAAGGAGCATAAATGAAACCAAGAGGTAGTTTTCTGGTTCTGCAATGAATTTCTTGTTTATAAGGTCCTACTGCATTCCCTGAGAACCCTATGGCTGGCCCAACATTACAGATCGCTGGTCTGTGGCTTCATCTTCCTCTTCCCATTCTACCATCCTACGGCAGGTGGAACCTCACCACCCACTAGGTAGAAGCTACCTCTTCTCACCTCCATGTAGTTAATGACAGTCACAGGAGAGGGCCCAGGTTCTCAAACCTCCTATTCAGTTTATGTTCCCTAATTTGTAGGACTTGTTTTGTTTCTGGATTATTGGTCAGTCAAGGAATGACTGCAACCTGTCGGATGAAAATTTTGGTTTGTACCAAATTTGGGTTTGTACCTTTGCTCTGTGCCTTTTCCCTTAAAACAAAACCTTAGCTGTGTAATAAGCATGTTATGTTTCAGTTTGAATTATACACATATGGAAATGATTAGATTGGGTAGGGGAAGGCTGTGCTCGTGCAGCTGGTGAGAATGATTATTTTTTAGGAGCTATTAGAACTCTATCAACCTGTTAAGAAAAATCTTTGAACACTTCACAATTTTTTTCAAAAAAACAATTCAGGTCTTCTCTAAAATTTAATGATAATATGACTTTGGGCCACGAGTGCCTTTTTGCTTGATAGTCAACGCGTTTTGAAACATTAAGAGAACGAGTGTTGCTAAGAAACATTAATTTCTTTAATTAACAGTTTGTGTATAAGACAAATTTGATGTGAAATTTCACATTATTTTTTGTTCCAGAATAAAAATTAACCAATGACAGAAAAATGCACTTTGGGTGAAATGAAATTTGAAAGAAATAAGATATTTAATAAATTAAATACACTATTAGAGAAATACAATATTAGAGAAATGCTAAGGAATTATAGGCTTACCTGGAACTTTGATTTTCCCTCCCTATTATCTCAAATTATTTTCCTTGCTATAATTCTGGATATTTACTGAATTTAAGTATGTCCCATGTCCACTGTAGGTGGGCCTTACATCATCACAGAAAGCAAGTAAGACTCCATTTCAATGATAAATTTGATTTATAAAATCTTTTCTTTTGCCACTTTACATAAATCATGGTATATTTATACCATGGTGACTGGTTCCTCTCATGGGCTTTACAAGTGACATCTGTCACATGACATCAATGTGAGCAGTTTGCTTGAGAAAGGACACATAATCTATCAACATAATATATCGGTATATAACATAAAATACAATTCAGCTTTCAGAATCATATATATGCTAATAGACAGCCAGTTAATAGTATTAGATATCCTTTGAGTACGGTTTTGAGAAACCTTCGTTATTCAATAGTTTGTCTGATTCATAATGCATTCATACTAGCTGGGAGTTTCACATTCAAGTGGCTATCTGAGGCTTTGAGAATATTTCACAATCATAAGGTGTATTTATTTTAATACATTTATTTTACACAGATGATATTAGAAAATTGAGGAGCATGTCTTTTTTTTTTTGAGAAGCATGTCTTTGTTACAGTTTTTCATGTTGAGGATGGATTTCACTGGGAAGCCATTTGTGACTTTAGCTCTGGCATTCTCAATTAGAAAATAGATGAGTCATAGGAGGGGATTAAAATTTCTCTCCCCTTCAACCCCATTGCCCTGGCCATTGGTTAATAGGGATAGATGGGGTAGCAGGTGTCCCTATAGAAATGCTAATGAGAAACTGTTCCTAGAAGAAATCAGCTGGGGCACCAGGAGGCAGAATTAATAAACCAGAGGCAAAATACTTGAAAAATGAGAGTAATAACAAGGAAGTCAGGAAGAAAAAGAGCCTTTAATGTCTGCCCTACAGCCTTATGTGAATGTGAGAGAAAGGCCCATCTGATTTAGTTTGTGCTATGCAGAACTGCCCTGTACCACAACTGTCCATTTTCCTAATTGCCTCCTGCTTAAGTTCCACCAATACCTCAAGGTCAGTCTTGGATACTGAGTCTTCAGCAATGCCTTCCTAGATCCTGCCATTCAGAATTACCATTTTTACTATCTAAACTGTTATCACTGTCTGCTTATTTGTCAAATACTTTTTATTTTATTTTATTTATTTATTTATTTATTTATTTATTTTGTGTGTGTGTGTGTGTGTGTGTGTGTGTGTGTGTGTGTGTGTGGTTTATCCATATGTATTCCACCTCCCAGATCATGGACACTTAAAGAGAAGGGCTGCATTTGGCCATTTCTATACCTCTCACAGCCTAATGTTCCTCTGCATTGTTTAGATTTGTTGATCCAGTGGGATATATAGGACTTAGTGAACATTTTATTAATCTACATGTTGACTAATTTCCTTTTGTCTCGTTTAATTGAATTTATTTCAGAAAATGACCAACAAGCCCTTGCTATGTATTCAAGCTAGGGATACTGAAAAATAAGTTATAATTTTACGGAGGGAAGTCATGTCCTCTTTAATTGGGATACAATCTGAATTCCTCTAGCTTACACCAGAAGGCAATGTTCAGATGGGGAAAGGTGGTGAGCATTCCAGGCCTGACTCTTGATGTACCTTTGCTTAAAGCCAGGGGCCTCAACCCTGGCTGCATGTTGGATGATCTGGAGGCCTTTAAAAATGGTGTTGCATGGAGAGAGGCTGATACAGTTGGTCTGGGGTGGGGCCTGGGCATCTATATGTTTTAAAGCTCTCTTGGGTTATTCTAATGGGCAATCAGGTTATGACATATGTCCACAAGGCAAGCTTCTCAAAATTCAGTATGCAGAAGAATCACCTGAAGAGCTTACCAAGATTCAGATTCCTGGGCCACATTCTCAGGCATGCTGCTTCAATAGGTTTAATGTGGAGCCTAAGAATCTATTTTTAATAAACACTATAGATAATTTTGTTGCAATTAGACTTCTGGCTTTACTCAAGGAGACACTGCTCAGAGAGATTTGCTGTCTTTAAGGGATGATTTGCCCATATACATTTATATATGGGTCAACTTACATTTTCTTTCATGTTCTTTGTTTATGTTTTATAATTTTCTCCATAAAGATCATTTCTATAATTATAGGGTTGTTGGGGGTTTTTTGTTGTTGTTGTTGTTTCTTTTCTTTTTTTGGTACCAAGAATTGAACCACAGAGCCATATACCCAGCCCTTTAAAATATATTTTATTTAGTGACAGGCTCTCTCTAAATTGCTTAGGGCCTAGTTAAGTTGCTAAGGCTGTCTTTGAACTTGTGATCCTCCTGCCTCAGGCTTCTAAGCTGCTGGGCCTTCAACACTGTGCCCAGATATAATTATAGTTTTTAAGTTTTATTTTTTTATAGATAAATCTTTAACTGGATTCTATCTTTATGTATAGAATG